GTGTCCAGGCCCTGGGGTCAATGGCTGACCTGAGCTGCCTTGCCTCTTCCCATCGGCTAGAGAGAAATATCAATCTGACTAGAGCTGTGAAGCCCCTCCACCTGTCCAAGGACAAGGATTGGGTGAGGCCAGGACAGAAGTGCAGTGTGGCTTGCTGGGGCGGGTCTCCCTGATGGGCACATTACCAGACAAACTGCAGTAGGTGGAGCTGACCATGCAAGTTGACTGGGAGTGTGAAAACTACTTACAAAATTACTATGACTGTACCATTCAACTGTGCATGGGGAACATGATGGAAAAGTAGCCTTGCTTTCAGGTGAAACAGCTTGGCTAGCTTGGCTCTGAAAAGAAGGGTGTTTGGGGAAGGACAGGGACCTGAAGACCGAAGCAGCGGGGAATTCCTCCGACCTCTAGCCTGGGATCTTTCTCTCTGGAAAGACAATGGAGAACACCCAGAGCTGGGGAGGAATAGGGCCTCTGAGAACTTACTGAGGCCCATGGCCAACTCTGCATGGACCTAAAGCAGTGTGGTTGTCTGTGCTTTGCTCTGACTGCCACTGTGCAGTTCCATCCCACAGGCTCTCCTTACATGACTGCAGGCTTCTTCCTTTTTCAATCTGGGTGAGGACTTTTGATTATCCCAAGCAATAGAATATGGTACAATGGATACCATATGACCTCAAAGTCTAGGTAAGAAAAAGAATAATCTTGTGCCCGGGTCGATTTTTCAGAGATGCTCACTCTGCAGAAGCCCACCATCATGTTGCAAGACCAAACAATCCTGTGCAGAGGCCACAGAGAGGACTGATGCCCAGTGGGCAGCAGCACCAACCACTGGGCATGTGTCAGTCATGCTTCAGCTGATCCCAAGCTCCAGGCTTCAAGCCTCCCCTGACATCCAGGGGGACAAAGGAAACTATCCATCCTAATCCTGAACAAGATGAAGATTCACTAGAAGAATAATTTTGTTGGTCTTCTTTGAAACCACAACTTGGTTCTTTACAAACTGACATAAGCCCTCTTGGGCATTATTGCCACACCATTGTGTCCATCCCTTTAACCGTGGCTTCACCATCTTTATCTGATCACTGATGGTTTTGTCTCCACCAGATGCAAGGAATCTCATATCTAATACCCCTGAGTCTCACAATAAAAAGCCTCGATAAATGGTCCAAAAAAACAAGGAAATGAAGAGTTCTTACATGGATCATGAGATTCGGGTTTCTGGGGTTGGAAACATAGTACTGGCTAATACAGCATCTCCCACAACCTCAGTTTGCAGCCAGTGGTTTCTGTTTTCAGTTGTGTGGTCAGCACGGAGTCAGAGCTAAGGTACTTATGTGGTTACTGATAAGCTCTTACTCCATCAGGCTTGAATATTTCAACACACAGCTGTGTCGGGCACTCAAATAGAGCCTACGTGATAAAGGCCACAACACGGGAGAGCCTGGGGTTAGAAAACCAAGGGGAAGCACCAGCAGCTCTGCCCTCGGCCACCTTCCCGAGAAGATGCAGCCACTTCTACTCCTGATGGCCTTTCTTCTGTCCCCCAGGGCAGAGGCAGGTGAGTGACCGTCCCCTCCAACAGACGCCCAACCCCACTCCACACTGGCACAGCCATGGCCAGATGCTACATACACATCCTGGCCCTGATCCATCATCAGGAACTTTCTGGACTCCAGGTTCAGCCTCCCTGAAAGACCAACCTATCTGATGCTGAATAAACACTCCACGGGAATGGCAGGGCTGAAGCCTGTTCTCCAGGAGGGCCAGTGGGTGCTGTGCCCTTCCCAGGTCCTACCCTTCTCATCAGGATTGTGGGTTCTTTTAGAAAACCGTCTGCAAGAAGGTTGGAAGCTAAGAATGAGGAATAATTAAATCCCCAGGAAAGGGCAGTTTGGAAAAGGGGCTGACATCTGTAATGAAAGTAAGGCCCCCTCACGTTCTAACTCAATGACTTAAAATCTACCCTCAATCTCCTCCCCCTTCTTCAGATTTGTCATTACTGTGCTGCTCAGGAAAGAAGTTGAGGACACAGTTGATCCCCGAGTTGGTGGCACCCTGTTTCTCTTAACATTTGTGATTGGCTAGTTCAGTCTCAAACTCTCTCTGGTAATTTTAAAGTCACAATGTTCTGAGCATTACACACCTGCAGCAGCTCAGTGAGTCTGGGAAACAAGAATTGAGAGGACCCAGAGAACCTCAGGGAAAGCAAGTGCCAGGATGCACAGGGCCTTCACTGCTTGTTCCCAAAACAAATCCTGTCTACCCACACATGTGCCTGCAGCTGTAATTAAGGAATAAGGACTTCGCTTCTCTCTGTCAGAGGAACAAATTGAGTCTGGTGGATCACTTAGTAGGTCTGGAATGTTACCTCAGGAGCCCCCAGGGACCCCCGCTAGGTCACTTCTGACTACTACAGACTCCACCATCTGCCACCCCACTCCTCCCCGCCTGCTCCAGTTTGTCCCAATCTCCCCTCCAGCCCTTAGCTCCTTGAGCACAGCAAGCAAGGTAGAATTTTTCTTTCAGGGGAGATCATCGGGGGGCATGAATCCAAGCCTCACTCTCGTCCCTACATGGCACATCTTGGGAACTGTGGGGGTTTCCTTGTGCGTGAGGACATCGTGCTGACAGCAGCTCACTGTGCGAGACGGTAAGAATAAGCATCTGGGACCCACCCCTTCTGTAGACACCTGGCAGGGAACCCTCATCTTAGGGGCTGTAGACTTCAGCCACCTACTAACACAGAGAAGCTCTTCGGAAGACAGGTAAGATTCAGGGAGAGAGGGTCAGGTCAATGCAAGTGGCCTGTTGAAGAGAGAGGGGACTGACCAGTGGTGGCACAGGAAGGAGCCTGAGGTTGTGCCCTGGAGCCCAGTGTGCAAATGTGAGACCTTCACAGATTTGCTTAGAGACAGGCAAGCTCAGCATAGTGACATCTGCTCCAGTAACTGCCACTGAGCCCAAGCTGCCAAGAGGCAGAGGGCACACACATGTTTCGCCCCAGGGACCCTATCATTCCTCTCCACTGCAGTCCTGCCCTGTCCCCACCTGTCCTCTTTCTTTCACAGCCCCTGAGCTATATCTCCAGTGACTATGTCACCCTCTCTAGTCTCTGCAGCTCAATTACTGTCACCCTGGGAGCCCACAACATCAAGCAGAAAGAGGAGACCCAGCAGAAAATCCTGGTGAAAAAAGCCATAATCCACCCAGACTATAATTACCCTCAGTGTGCGAACGACATCATGTTACTGCAGGTAAGGCTCCATTGACTCTTGCACACTTTAATCCCAGGATTTTCTGTCTGCATGACCTCTGTCCCATACTCCTTCCCAGTATGGTCCTTTGACTTGTCCCAGGGCCATTAAGATGGCAACCACAGGACTGTCCCTACAGACTGTGGGCCACGGGTAGATTAGAATTCCTGTCCTCTGCCTACAGCTGGAGAAGAAGGCCAAACTGAATGCCAACGTGCGCCTCATCAGTCTGCCCACAATGACAGACCAGGTGAAGCCAGGGATGGTATGCAATGTGTCTGGCTGGGGGCGTCTGGGAGTAAACACCACAGGTAATGGGAAACTGCATGAGGTAGAGCTTGAAATCCAGAGCAACAACGTATGCAGCTCTCGCTACAAACATTACAACAGCACCATCCAGATATGTGTGGGGGACCCGAAAAAGATTCAGACTTCTTTTAAGGTAAGATCCCAGCATGGCCCTTACCCAGCACAGTCGAGGTTTCAGGAGACCCAGGGCTGTGGGAACCAGCCATATGCCTACGTCCTCAGACTTTCCACCAATCCAGTCCCTGGTGCTGTCTCGCTGGGGGGAATGGGAGACTGTCCCACAGCCACATATGGACAGAGGCTTTATGGAGAAGGGAGAAGGGAACGATCAGAGCCAGCCTAAAACCCTTGGACTTGGGGAGGCAACAAGGCCTGCCCTGGCACTGCTGTCCCATGCAGAGACCACCCATCCCTGGGGCAAAAGGAGGGCAGGACCAGGAGGAGCTCCAACTCAGGCCCTCATCTCTCTGCCCACAGGGAGATTCCGGGGGCCCCTTCATATGTAACAACGTGGCCCAAGGCATTGTCTCCTATGGAAATGACAAAGGAAAACCTCCGCGAGTTTACACCAGGATCTCGAGGTATTTGCCCTGGATAAAAAGCACAATGAGACGCTTCAAACTGCTGAGAACACAGTGAGGCAACCCGGAATTGATCCGTCCATCTTCTCTGGGGCTCAGGCCAATACTGCATTGGGCTGAGAGGGTACAGGCTATTCAACAAGATACTTAATAAACGTCATCTCTTCACTGAAAATCATCAATTTCTCCTTTATTCACCAAAATATTTATTAGTTACCTACTGTTGTGTCCAGCAACCATCTGTTCACAGTTCTGATCTCTTATATGCTTCCCCCTATAGCGTAACTTATGTTCTATCTCTACAACAAAAATTTGTGCTGCATCGATACCAAACTCCTTCCAAATACACCTCCCCAGTGCCAGCTCTCCCTGCCAGGCTAAATGTAAGTTCCATCATGAAAATGTGACCCTCGTCTACACAGCCCTCTTATCTCACTCATATTCCTCTCCTACTTCGTTCCACACCTACACCCTACTCCACTAGCAGAACCCAGGACCAATATGCAGCATAAAAGAATCCAGAAACTGAAAGAAGGATGAGCTAAGAAGCTCTGGGGAAGGGAACCATTTCTCCACCAGAACAGAAAAGGGTGGGAAGCCTTTGTATGGGCGTCATTTCACTCCACAAACCACTCCTTCCCCAATTTACAGCAGCTGGAAGCCTGAGAAGTTTCAGGAAGGCCCTTCAGGACGCCCAGCCCCAGCTCAAGTGCGTCTCACAGCCCTGTCTTGGGCCCAGAGCTCAGTGGAACCGCTGTGTCCTGGCAGCCCATCCTCCCAAAGCCCAAAATGACCTTGAGGGTGCTCTTTCTTCGTCTGTGACAGCCTCCCCTTAGCTCCCACTGTTCGTGTGTGTGTGTGTGTGTGTGTGTGTGTGTGTGTGTGTCTGTGTCTGTGTCTGTGTCTGTGTCGCCAAAGGAAACTCACTATAATGAAAGGTATTACTTTCAAGGGTATTTTTCTATTGATTTAAAAGTATCTTATAGCATAAAGCTAATTTGAGAATTTTTTCTTCTATTTTTCACCATCTCTAAATCTTTCATAAGATTGCATTCAAAAAAGTAACCTCATTTCAAAACATGCACCTTAGAGAAGGCTGGACTGAAGAAGAGTGCTTTGCTGAATGTTGGCCATTGATGAGTATGCTTCAACTCAGGGGAAATGTATTTTGGGTATAAATGCAATACTTATTCATCCTAGAAAGATACCTAAATACATAAATAAGAAAATGAAAACTACCAAGAATTCCACCATCCAGGAATGATCACTGATGCTTAAGCATGTTACTTCCATTCTTTCTCTGATTTCATAAGATGCTGTTCCTTGAACAGAACTGAGGTTTGGCTGTTTAGAATCATCATGACTTCCTTTCCACCTCTCTTTCTTCTGCTGTCACACTGCTGACAGACTTGGGATAATTTGTTCACAACATATATAAGTGCTTGGCCCAAGGACATCAGAGACAGGGTTCTCTGGACACTGGACAGAGCAAACTTAGTGGAGAACTGTTAGGATAGTCGGCATCCATTTCCCCAAAGCCTGACAAGAGTAACTAGCATTTCTTGAGGGGAATTGACCACACAGAAGATCTATGATTTGGGTGGGACAGTCCCCTCCTTAGCCCAAGGGGTGCTAAGTCACCAAAGCATAAACCAATCAGGCCACTCAACTCCAACTGGTTGAATGATGCCTTGTTTCCATCCAACGAATATCAACTCCAGGACTTGTGTTCAAAATTGTGGGGTAAGAGAAGCTCGAACTTTTTCTGTCAGAGAATATTTCTATTTAAAGAGGGAATCTAAATGTCCCAAAAATATGAGGCTGCAGTGCTGGTGCAATAAGAAATGGAGTGACCATTTGGCGTATTGAGGTTTGTCCAGGAATACCTGAACCTCAGGCAAGTTCAGCCTCTATCTCACCACCAAGCAGACCCCTCACCATAGCCCTTAGCACCCCGTCCTCTATACACAGGTTCTCCGTCTATTCCAGCAAACCTTCGGCTTCTGAACGGCAGGGCCATTCACTCATACCACTAAACATAGCTTGCTAAATAACTATTCATGATTTCATCACAAAGGAAAACCAGCCAGGAAACATGAAATGGAAACATCCTTGATTTAATCACTGAGGGACTTCTGGGGTACCAGACCCTCTGCTGGCTGTAGCCACAACCTTCACTTCCTTATTCCTTCTTCTGGCTTTTGCCCTATGGCTGAGCAGTCTGAGTAAAAATGTGGTGACAGTGCCATTCTCACCTAACCAAACCAGGGAACTTCCACAAACCATCTTGTATGATGACATCCAGGAAAACTAAAGGAACACGTGTTTAGGAGGTGTGTGTGTCAGTGAGCAATACTTCCTGTGATCCCTTCAGGGTCTATGTGTCTGCAAAGAAGACACTCCAGCAGCTCTGACCTGGGCAGACCTTCAGGGAAGATGCATCCACTCCTGCTCTTGTTGGCATTGCTTCTGCCTGCTGGGGCCTGGAGGGGTGAGTGACCGTCCCATTCCTGGGGCCTGAGCCCGTCTCCTAAAACCCCTTCTACTCCTGGCCTTTTAATCGAACCCAAGCAGGGATTGTCCTCCATTTGAACCCAGGAGCTTTCTGAACACCAGCTTCCAACCCAACTCCAGACCAATAAGTCCCATGTAGATAGCTAGTCAACAAGGATGGCCGGGAAGAAGCATTAAACTATAAGGTCTTAGCCTCTCTCTCATCACCTGGAAAGGAGGTTGTTCATGGAAAGGAATTTGGAAAAGGATGTGAAGCTACAACAGACACGTAGTTAAAATCCTTCACTCCAACCCAGATTGGGCCACTCAGACAAACCATGTGCAGTAGTGAGAGTTGTCTTGGACCAGCTTAAGAACCAGTTTAGTTCTCAGTGCCCTCCACCCTCCTGTCCTCCCAGGAGAGAAGCCCAGGGTGCAAGCGATCTCAGCACTGGCTAGACGACTGCACACAAATTTTGCTGGGTGTCTTGGCTCTGCCCCAGGCCTGGGCAACCATTTTCATCCCCGCACTCCCCTGATTTCTCAGACCCTTGGCCTCTCCACTGCTTTTGGCAGTGCCCTCTTCCCATCCCTGTGGCTTTGAATCCAACTAGCCTTGTCCCCACCAATCCTCAGCCAGAAGCTAATAGGAGGCCATATATTGATGCAGTAAAAAAAAATGTCTATTGAGAACCTAGATATGCTATGCCATGGGACAGGAGGATTTGAACTTCCTACTCCATAGTTCATTTTAGATTATTAGAAAACAGCACCAATTTGGGTTTTACCAGGGGTTTGGAGTGATCAAAGAGGCTCACTGCATCCTGTCCACATTACCTAGAGCTCCACCACCTTCAAGATAGGTTTCACCTCCTCCATTCATGTGTCTACATATGACTTGGAGAACGAGCACTGCCCCGTCCCCTTCTTCAAGGGGATTCAAAGGTTTGAGGTTCAGAGAAGGTGATTCTGCTGCAAGAGAACCTGAGAGACCCTCCCTCATTGTCTTCAGGGCACACCTCAATCATCGCCTCCCTCAGCCTTCCCTCCTACCACAGCCGCTCCCAGTCACCCACTTTCCAGCCTTTTCCTTCAGAGGAAATCATCGGAGGACATGAGGCCAAAGCCCACTCTCACCCCTACATGGCCCTCATTCGGTTCCTGAATAAGAGAAAGAAGAGGTGCGGCGGTGTTCTTATGCAGGAGAACTTTGTTCTGACAGCTACTCACTGCAGTGGAAGGTGAGGAGCAGCAGCCGGTCTAACCTTCAGGAACACCTACTGGACCCTTGTTATTTCCCCAGTGGCCACAGCTCAGGTGAGCTCCTCGGGATCCTGGTAATTCAAACCCACAAAAGCTCATCAGAGGAGGAGTCTGAGGGAGTGACCAGGCGATGAAAAGCTCAGCAATAGGACAGGTAAGCTGGGCACAGAGGGTCGGAGGTGAGAACAAGTGGCACAGTTGAGAAGGCAAGGAGCACACTGGCCAAATCAAGCAGGTGTAGTAGATGCATTAGGGCCAAAATGCAAATTAAAGCAATGCCATGACACTGCATGAGGGCAGGAGAGAGTTTCCAGAAGCCCTACCCTCACTGTCCTTGAGAAGCAGAGAAGGCAGAGTCACTCAGCCCTTAGCCCTCCTGTGGCCTCGATTTCCCCTAACTGCAGCCCTGACCCACCTCAGCTGTCACCTGCCTTTCACAACACCTGGGCTGTACCCCCGCCCCCCACTCCCACATTCTGCTCTCTGTACAGCTCAGTCATGGTCACGAGTGGAGTGGGGCACAACATCTTGGAACAGGAGAAGACCCAGCAGGTCCGCGAGGTGACAAGAACCATCCCCCACCCAGACTATAACCTCAAGAACTTCTCCAATGACATCATGTTACTGCAGGTAAGGAAACTTCCAGCTGCTCTTGCTCTCCTGGGTCCAGATTGTTTCTGCTCTCACTGGGACCTCTCCGTTCCTTTTTTCTCATACTGGTCACCTGACCAATCCCAGTGCCTCAGGGGGAGGAAGCAAGACAGTTCAGCCCATCTTGGAGTCCAGGCCTGGGGTCAATGGCTGACCTGGGCTGCCTTGTCTGTTCCCATTAGCTAGAGAGGAACATCAAGTTGACTAGAGCTCTGAAGCCCCTCCGCCTCTCCAGAGGCTAGGACTGGGTGAGACCAGGACAGAAGTGCAATGTGGCTGGCTGGGGGCACGTCTCCCCAATGGGCACATACTCAGACAAAATACAGGAGGTGGAGCTGACCATGCTAGAGCATCGGGAGTGCGAAAACTGCTTTCAAAATTATTATCACTGTGCCATTCAACTGTGTGTGGACAATATGACAGAGAAGAAGGCTTCATTTCATGTGAAACTGAGGTTGGCTAGCTTGGTTCTGGAAAGAAGGGTGTTGGGGAAGGACAAGGACCTGGAGACCCAAGCAGTGAGGAACTCTCCCACCCTCTAGCCTGGAATCTTTCTCCCTGGGAAGACAATAAAGAACAACCAGAGCTGGGGAGAAATAGAACCTCTGAGAATTTACCGAGGCCCATGGTCAGTCAAGACATGGTCCTCCTCCAGAAAGATGAATCTGCAACACGAGAGCCCACACTGAGGCACAGCGATAGGCAACTGTGTTCCCAGTGTGAGCAGTAGTTAAACCAGGTGGCTCCTCAGAGCTGACACCCACTGTGGTTAATAGGCTCGTCCTCGAGTCTAAGTGTCAGCCCCAATGCATGCCTTCATGTCCCTCACAGTAGAGTGGAGCCACAGTGCCCACAGCACCTATAAAAAGAGAGGATCTGAGACCTGAGAAGGAGAGGGATTGCCATCTGGGGTGAATTGAAGCTATGACAATGGCCAAGTTGAGGGCTCGCAGCGGCATGCCGCGATCTGGTCGGCCACATGGAGACCACGCAAGGTGGCCTTCTCTGAGAGGGGGCTTGGGATAGCAGGAAGGTCAGGACAAACAGGAGGACTGGCTCAATCCTAACCCCTCTCTGACTGCAGAGGGACTCCGGGAGCCCTCTCGTGTGTTGAGTGTGATCCAGGGCTTTGTCTCCTATGGAAGAAAAGGTGAAACATCTCCACAAGCCTACAGCAAAGTCTCAAGATTTCTGCCATCCCTACAGGTCATGCCACACTCATGGGGCACTGCCTGGGACCTAAGCGTGCATTCCAGCTCTGGGATAATGTCCATCTCTCTCAAATACAAAAAACACTACACTCTCTTCTGGCATGGGCTGAATACTCTAAGATCACCTGGCCCTCAAAGGCCCATATGGCCTCTCACATCGTGTTGCACGCAAAGCATGAAGCAAAACAATTGCTGAATCACCTTGGGCACTTTTAAATGAAGAACAGTCTTGTCACACAGCTGCTGCTTTGGAGTGGAAAGAAATCCCCACATCTAGGACTTACAAAGGACCCGGCGCCTTGACCGAAAAAGACAAAGGAAAACATACAAAGCAAAACAAAAATAGTATTTTAAAAAGTTGCCAAGCCACACACTGGTTTAGGTACAAGCTTTCCTTTGAGGAAATGATTCTGTGGTTTAAAACTACTTTGAGGACCATGTTGTATGACATCGTCTTTTGAGACATGAGAGAGAGACAATGTCCCAGGAGGTTGAGGCGACCAACGGAAGGTACCACCAGAGTTAGGACAGATCCTGGGCTGATCCAGGCCCCCTGGCAGCCAGCCCAGCAAGAGGTCTTACCAGTTTTCTAACACCTGCCCTGCGATGACTTCCTGGCATCCCTGAACAAAAGATAAGCTTCCACTCAGACAGCTCCCCAGAGAGAATGCCTCTGGGATCCTGTGGCAGCCATGCTGTGACAATCATTCAAAAACACTTTCCTTTGCGAGCTGAAGTCTGCTTATGGACACATTGGGATGGAGGCCGGTAAGCACCTTAGACATGCCGATAACTTCAAATCTCCTGTGTCTGTGGTAGGACATCTCCCACCCCACATCACCCCAACATGGAGGAAACTATCCTTCCCTTGCTTAAAATCTTTGTCATGAACACTCAAAAATTTTAAAAAGTAAGATATCTCTGTAACACCTCTACTCACCAAGACTCACTTCCACAACCACTTCTTCCCTCCAGACCCACAAGAAGAGTCAGGTGTCAGCATGGCCGCAAAGCCAGCTCCTAGAGCAGGCGGGAAATAGGCGGAAAGGAATGCAAGTGCTTGCTGTCTTGTTCCAGGAACATGCATTGGGGTGACTCTGCCTTCCGTGCCCACCACCACGCTTCTGCCATACTTCCACTCTCTGTGGACTTACGGGCTCACAGGGCTTGTTTCCTGTCTTCATATCCCACACAACACTGAGTCTGAGCAATAAATATATTTTACCATCAAAAAAGGACACAAACCGGTTCCTTTTTCATAGGCCTCTTGTTAGACTACATTTGTCATAGACAGATTAACGAAGCTCAGTGAACCTCGGGTAGGACAAAGAAATCACATCTACTCAAATAATAGTCAAAATGGTGAAAATCAAATATAAAGAGAAAACGTTGAGAGTAGACAGAAGGTAAAAATCAGTTACATTACTTCAGGGGAAGCAACAATAAGAATTACCATGAGCTTATCGTCAGAAATAATGAAAGTCAGAAGACAGTAAAATGACATTTTCAAACAGTTGAGAGAAAAAAAGAAACAGGCGCTCTCGTTCTGGAATTCTATATCCACTGAAACAATTGACAAAAATGAAGGTGACAATAAGGATGTGTTTGAAAAAAGCACTGGTAAGAGAATTTGTTGCCATCACACCTGCAGTGAAAGAAATATCTAAAAGAAGTTCTTCAGGCTGAAGGGAAATGATCCCTATTGTAAGCAGAAGGGCAAAAGAGAAATTAAAGTGTAAAATGAGACTAAATACAAAAGGTGGGAGGCAAATAAAAGGAAATGTATCCTTGCAAGGTTCTCATAGTAAGTGCTATAACATTAATTCTAAGTAGACTGTGATATGAGAAGAAGGCATATTGTATCTTAGAGTGACCACTAAAGTAATCTACAAGATCTGACAATTAAGATCATGAACTTGTTCTACAAAAAGTGTTCCATATCTCATTGCTGAATATCACTATGGCCACCTTCAAAGTGCTCCCCATGGGGAGCTATGCACCTACACCGGCACCTAGTCCCCCTTTCACAGCATTTTTGGAACTCTTTTTTGGAATGGCCATCAGAGCTGTTGTCATATTACCCTTGATATCCTGAATGTCATCAAAATGTCTTCTTTTCAATATCTACTTTAACTTCGGGTAAAGAAAGAAGTCATTGAGGGCCAGATCAGGTGAGTAGGGAGGGTGTTCCAATACAGTTATTTGTCTACTGGCTAAAAACTCCCTCACAGACAGCGCCGTGTGAGCTGGTGCATTGTTGTGATGCAAGAGGCATGAATCGTTGGAGAAAAGTTCAGGTGGCCTAACTTTTTCACGCAGCCTTTTCAGCACTTGTAAATAGTAAACACGGTTAACTGTTTGTATGGTTGGTACCAATTCATAATGCATAATTTCTCTGATATCAAAAAAGATTCGCAACAAGATCATTAATTCAATTGTCAGAACTTCGTATAGAGGTATAGCTACAGGAATTAAACAAGACAAAAGGAGATACCACCAAAGAAGAGAGGAAAAGGACAAAGGAAAGAATAAATCACTCTAATAGAAACCAAATGACAACATGATATTCTTCAACCCAACCAAATCAGTAATTGCATTCAATCTAAGCAGATTAAATACTCCAATTAAAAGGCAGAGGTTGTGAGTCTCGCTGAAAAAATGCAAGATCTAAATTTGTGCTGTTTACAAGAGACACATCCTAAATATAAAGACATGGGCTGAATAACATAAAACAATACAAATACAAAAGAGACATTCTGCAACACCCATCCAAGAAAACAACCATGCCCATGAGGTGTGCTGTTTCACTTTTGAATTTTGGGCCACCTGTCAGATGAGCTCAAGTGTCTCAGTAGAAGTTTCATTTCGATTCCTCCATATTTATTTCCATTTCTCTTAATATGAGAGAAGTTGATGCTCTCTTCATTTTTTTTTTCTTAAAGATTTTTATTGGGGAATTGGGGGGATGGGAACAGTGCTGGGGAATTCAGGGAAGGGGAACAGACAAGTTGCTGTCACTTTGCTCTTCAATCTACTTGTGGAGGATGTTGCTTCACTGGCCCAAGTTGGCACCATCATTGCGCTCTTCCCAGGTGAAACAGATCAGTCGCCGGCTTCTGGATGGCCGCTCACTGCAGCTGCTGGCCACTCACACTGGCTGCTGGCTACACACAGTAGCCCATGGCAACCCACTGCCACAGAGGCTGCAGCCTAGGCCATCGCCGGCGACCCACGGCAGCCCAGCTCCAGGTCGAGCCACTGTTCAGCATCTTAGCTGTGGAGGGCAGTGTAACTGGCCCTCACATGTGGGATCCGAACTGGGGCTTTCTGGCATCCCAAGCCAGCTCTTAACAATTGCGCCACTCGG